TATCCCTATTCTCATGATCAAATACCTCCCTAATCCTCGTAGGACTTAATATTCTAATTACAGCTCTCTATTCCCTCTACATAGTAATCATAACTCAACGAGGGAAGCTATTAATTCACATAAATAACCTATACCCCTCACATACACGAGAGCTAACACTAATAGTACTTCACCTAATGCCACTAGCCCTATTAACAATCAACCCTAAATTAATTTTAGGTCTAACACTATGTAGGTATAGTTTATAAAAACATCAGACCGTGAACCTGAAGACAGGGTATTAAAACCCTTATCTACCAAGAAAGTATGCAAGAGCTGCTAACTCATGCCCCCGTGTATAAAAACACGGCTTCCTTACTTTTATAGGATAGAAGTAATCCATTGGCCTTAGGAGCCAAAAACTTGGTGCAACTCCAAATAAAAGTAATTAATACCATCACATCAACAATTATTCTAATCATATTTCTACTTATAATCCCAGTCGTCGCCACACTAACAAATAGCAAGCCACCTAACTTATCAATATACATCACATCATCAATTAAATACTCATTCTTTCTAAGCTTGATTCCCCTGTATGTACTATTCAATAATAACACAGAACTTCTAATCACCAGCTGACACTGAATCACCATTAACTCAATCGAGCTATCTATTAGCCTAAAATTTGATTTCTTCTGCATCATCTTTTTACCAGTAGCACTATATGTTACATGATCTATCATAGAGTTCTCATCGTGATACATACACTCAGACCCACACCTAGACCGATTTATAAAGTACCTCATCATATTTCTTATTACTATAATCATTCTCACCTCAGCTAACAACCTTCTCCAACTATTCATCGGATGGGAGGGTGTAGGAATTATATCATTCTTACTAATCGGCTGATGGTACGGACGATCAGACGCCAACACAGCAGCCCTACAAGCAATCCTATATAACCGAATTGGAGATATTGGCTTTATTCTAGCTATAGCTTGACTATGCCTAAATTGTAACTCATGGGAACTTCAACAGATTTTTACCACTGACAAGCAAAATATTATCCCCCTAATAGGACTTCTACTAGCAGCCACAGGCAAATCAGCACAATTTGGACTTCACCCATGACTCCCGTCAGCCATAGAAGGCCCAACCCCAGTCTCAGCATTACTGCACTCCAGCACCATGGTAGTAGCAGGTATCTTTCTATTAATCCGATTTCATCCAATAACCTCCAACAATAATGTAATACTAACAGCTATACTATGCCTAGGATCAATAACCACACTATTTACAGCCATCTGCGCCCTCACCCAAAATGATATCAAAAAAATTGTAGCTTTTTCCACATCAAGTCAACTAGGACTTATAATAGTCACGCTAGGACTAAATCAACCTCACCTTGCTTTCCTACATATCTGCACGCATGCCTTCTTCAAAGCCATACTATTTATATGCTCAGGCTCCATTATTCACAGTCTGGGAGATGAGCAAGATATCCGAAAAATAGGAGGACTATTTACCCCCCTACCATTCACCTCCTCATGCCTAACTATTGGCAGCCTTGCCTTAACGGGCATACCATTCCTCACAGGATTTTATTCCAAAGATTTAATCATCGAGACAATAAACACGTGCCACACCAACGCCTGAGCCCTACTAATCACACTCGTAGCCACCTCTATGACAGCAGCCTACAGCCTACGAATCATTTTCTTCGCCCTAATAAATAAACCCCGATTTCAACCACTGATTACATTAAACGAAAATAATTCAAAGCTAACTAACCCCATCAAACGACTAGCCCTAGGAAGTATTTTTGCTGGATTTATTATTTCATACAACATACCCATCACCTTCACCCCACCAATAACCATACCCTGATACCTAAAAACCTCAGCTATCCTGGTCACAATTACAGGACTAATAATCTCCCTAGAACTTAGCAATTTAACGTACAACCTAAAAATAAACAAACCGCTGCCAACCAACACCTTTTCCACCATACTAGGGTATTTTACCACAGTAATTCACCGAATTGCCTCGATAAAACTACTAACTGAAAGCTTAAACAAAGCCCTCTACCTAATAGACCTTACACTAATAGAAAAGTCAATACCAAAAACAGTATCTACTTCCAACCTACTAGCCTCCCAAATACTAACAAACCAAAAAGGTCTAATCAAACTCTACTTCCTCTCATTCATCGTATCACTACTATCTATTCCCATTTTATTAACTAATTACCTCGTGTAATTTCAATAATAATAAAAATACCCATAAACAAAGTCCAACCAGAAACTACCATCAACCAAGCTGAGCAACTATACAAAGCCGCCACCCCAGCTCCACCCTCCCCCATCAGACCTAACTCATCACCATCATAAACAACTCAACCCCCTATACTATTTAATTCTAAGATCAAATCAACACCCTCATAATATTTATTAACCACACTTATACCCAGCTCTATAAACATGCTTATAACTAAGATACCCAAAAATAATCAACTAGAGACCCAAGTCTCAGGATACTCATCAGCTGACATAGCAGTTGTGTAACCAAACACAACCATCATCCCACCTAAATAGATTAAAAACACCATTAAACCTAAAAAAGATCCACCAAACCCTAACACTGCCAAACAACCAGCACACCCACTAACAATTAAGCACAAACCACCATAAATAGGAGATGGCTTTAATGATGCCCCTAAACAACCCACAGCAATTAATGAACTTAAAATGAAAATGTATTCTGTCATAATTTCTACATAGACTCTAACTATGACTAATGACATGAAAAATCATCGTTGTAATTCAACTATAGAAACGCTAATGACAAACGTACGAAAAAATCACCCATTAATAAAAATTATTAACCACTCATTTATTGACCTTCCTGCCCCATCAAACATCTCATCATGATGAAACTTTGGATCCCTAATTGGACTATGTCTACTCATACAAATCCTAACTGGACTATTCCTAGCTATACATTACACATCAGATACAACCACAGCATTCTCATCAGTGACACACATCTGCCGAGATGTTAACTATGGCTGACTCATTCGCTACCTACATGCAAACGGAGCCTCAATATTCTTTATCTGCTTATTCCTCCACGTTGGACGAGGTATTTACTACGGGTCATATACCATGGTAGAAACCTGAAACATCGGTATTATCCTCCTATTTATAGTCATAGCTACAGCATTTATAGGGTATGTCCTACCATGGGGACAAATATCCTTCTGAGGTGCAACAGTAATTACAAACTTACTTTCAGCTATCCCATACATTGGTACAACACTAGTTGAATGGATCTGAGGAGGCTTCTCAGTAGATAAAGCCACACTTACACGCTTCTTCGCATTTCACTTTATTCTCCCATTCATTATCACAGCACTAGTCCTAGTACACTTACTATTTCTACACGAAACAGGATCTAACAACCCAACAGGACTAAACTCAGACGCAGACAAAATCCCATTTCACCCATACTACACAATTAAAGACCTACTAGGAGTGTTTATATTATTAATTACATTAATAATTCTAGTACTATTCTTCCCAGACATCCTTGGAGATCCAGACAACTACACTCCCGCAAACCCACTAAACACCCCAGCACATATCAAACCAGAGTGGTATTTCTTATTTGCATATGCCATCCTCCGATCAATCCCAAACAAACTAGGAGGTGTACTAGCCCTAATCCTCTCTATCTTAATCCTAGCAGTACTCCCACTCCTCCACACATCCAAACACCGAGCAATGACATTCCGACCACTGACACAATTTATATACTGACTACTAGTAGCCGACCTACTAATCCTAACCTGAATTGGAGGGCAACCAGTAGAATACCCATTCATCATCATCGGCCAATTAGCCTCAATCACTTACTTTGCCACCATTGTCATCTTCATACCTATTGCAAGCATAATCGAAGACAGCATGCTAAAATTCGCCTAACAGTCCTGATAGTATAAAAAATTACTCTGGTTTTGTAAGCCAAAAATGAAGAAACACTCTTCTCAGGACATCAAGAAGGAAGGACATTCCCCCACCATCAGCACCCAAAGCTGAAATTCTAATTAAACTACTTCTTGTACATAAAATTATATAGTCCATAATACATTTATGTATATCGTACATTAAATTATATTCCTCTAGCATATAAGCATGTATTACTTAATTAATGAACTATTGACATACAATGTTTTATCAACATACCATGTACTACAACATGAATATTCTTTAATACATTAACTCAATGTCTTAGGACATACCTGCGTTATCTTACATACCCCATTTTAGTCATAACCCTGCTTTTCCATATGACTATCCCCGTCCCCCCCAATCTCTAGTTCTACCATCCTCCGAGAAACCAGCAACCCGCCCACCTCTGCCCCTCTTCTCGCTCCGGGCCCATTTTAACTTGGGGGTGACTAATGTGAAACTTTACCAGGCATCTGGTTCTTACTTCAGGGCCATTGAATGTTTTATCGTCCATACGTTCCCCTTAAATAAGACATCTCGATGGTACGGGTCTAATCAGCCCATGCCCAACATAACTGTGGTCTCGTGCCTTTGGTATTTTTTATTTTTCGGTATGCTGTGACTCACCATAGCCGTCAAGGCATGAAGTTCACCTTATTCGTGTAGCTGGACTTATTATTCAAGTGTCATTTATCCTCATAGACAGTATATAAAGACATAATTATTAATGTTTTCTTGGACATATAACTTAAGAATCATATTTGATTTATTCTCCAAACCCCCCCTTCCCCCCAATTAACACCTTCCACTCTGCCAAACCCCAAAAACAGAGATTCCAATGCAATTTTATCCCACATTCTAGTAATTCTCCAAATATAACTCAAATTTCAGTATCTGTAAAATTTTCAAAAAACAGGGCCCGCGATTTCAAACCACCTATTCAAGCCTAATTTAACAAGTGTTACGACAACATAATATATGTTCATGTAGCTTAATCAACTAAAGCAAAGCACTGAAAATGCTTAGATGGATTTCTGATCCCATAAACAAAAAGGTTTGGTCCTGGCCTTATAGTTAATTAGAGGTAAAGTTACACATGCGAATATCCATAACCCAGTGTCAAATCCCTAGGTTTTATGCTAAACCCTAAGGAGAGGGCATCAAGCACATACCTTATAGCTAAAGACGCCTTGCCCAGCCACGCCCCCACGGGATTCAGCAGTGATAAAAATTAAGCAATGAACGAAAGTTTGACTAAGTTATACCTCTCAAGGGTTGGTAAATTTCGTGCCAGCCACCGCGGTCATACGATTAACCCAAACTAATTATTCTCGGCGTAAAACGTGTTTATAAGACTCAACAATAGAATTAAAACCTGATTAATATGTGAAAATTCATTATCAGACTTAAATTCAATAACGAAAGTAATTCTAATAAAATATACACGATAGCTAAGACCCAAACTGGGATTAGATACCCCACTATGCTTAGCCCTAAACCTAAATACTTAAATAACAAAACTATTTGCCTGAGAACTACTAGCCACAGCTTAAAACTCAAAGGACTTGGCGGTACTTTATATCCACCTAGAGGAGCCTGTTCTATAATCGATATACCCCGCTATACCTCACCACCTCTTGCTAATCCAGCCTATATACCGCCATCTTCAGCAAACCTTAAAAAAGAATAAAAGTAAGCAAGATTATCGCCATAAAAACGTTAGGTCAAGGTGTAGCCTATGAGGTGGGAAGCAATGGGCTACATTTTCTTTTTAAGAACACTACGAGACCCTTTATGAAAACTAAGGGGCAAAGGAGGATTTAGTAGTAAATTAAGAATAGAGAGCTTAATTGAATAGAGCAATGAAGTACGTACACACCGCCCGTCACCCTCCTCAAATTGAACAAACAAACATTATACATAATTACAGCAAAAGTTCATGAGAGGAGATAAGTCGTAACAAGGTAAGCATACTGGAAAGTGTGCTTGGATTAATCACAGTGTAGCTTAAACCCAATAAAGCATCTGGTCTACACCCAGAAGACTCCACACCCAATGGACGCTATGAGCTAACCCTAGCCCTATAAATATTAGACTCAACTATTCTCATCAATCAACTAAAACATTCAAACTAAAGCAGTATTGGAGAAAGAAACTAAATTTAAGGAGCTATAGAGACAGTACCGTAAGGGAAAGATGAAAGAAATGTTTAAAGCACATAAAAGCAAAGATTAAATCTTGTACCTTTTGCATAATGAACTAACTAGAAAACACCTAACTAAAAGAATTTAAGCTAGGAACCCCGAAACTAAACGAGCTACCTAAGAGCAATTTTAAGGATGAACCCGTCTATGTAGCAAAATAGTGGGAAGACTTCTAGGTAGAGGTGAAAAGCCAAACGAGTTTAGTGATAGCTGGTTACCCAAAAAAGAATTTCAGTTCTACTTTAAGATTACCCTAAGAAAACCAAATCAAAATGTAATCTTAAAATATAGCCTAAAGAGGGACAGCTCTTTAGACTAAGGAGAAAACCTTAAATAGTGAGTAAGCCAAAAATAACAGACCATAGTTGGCTTTAAAGCAGCCACCAATAAAGAAAGCGTTCAAGCTCAACACTAAGAACCTTACAATACCTAAAACTTAAAACGACCTCCTATTTAAAAATTGGGTCAATCTATTTGTTTATAGATGAGACAATGTTAGTATGAGTAACAAGAATTTTTTTCTCCGAGCACAAGCCTATAACAACCCGGATAACCATTGCTAGTTAACATATATAAGTTTACCATCACAATGTAAAACTCACTTTTCACTTAATGTTAACCCAACACAGGTGTGCTTAAAGGAAAGATTAAAAGAAGTAAAAGGAACTAGGCAAACAAGAATCCCGCCTGTTTACCAAAAACATCACCTCTAGCATTACAAGTATTAGAGGCAATGCCTGCCCAGTGACATTAGTTTTAACGGCCGCGGTATCCTGACCGTGCAAAGGTAGCATAATCACTTGTTCCTTAATTAGGGACTAGAATGAATGGCTTAACGAGGATTCAACTGTCTCTTACTTCTAATCAGTGAAATTGACCTTCCCGTGAAGAGGCGGGAATACACTAATAAGACGAGAAGACCCTATGGAGCTTTAATCCCATAGCTTAACCAAATAATATAAACCGACCTACTGGTAATAAAACATTTAAAACATAAGCTCTGGATTTTGGTTGGGGTGACCTCGGAGAATAAAAAATCCTCCGAATGACTATAGCCTAGACACACAAGTCGAAGCATTAACTGTCCAATTGACCCAAAAACATTTGATCAACGGACTAAGTTACCCTAGGGATAACAGCGCAATCCTATTCAAGAGTCCATATCGACAATTAGGGTTTACGACCTCGATGTTGGATCAGGACATCCCAATGGTGTAGAAGCTATTAAAGGTTCGTTTGTTCAACGATTAAAGTCCTACGTGATCTGAGTTCAGACCGGAGCAATCCAGGTCGGTTTCTATCTATTAACAATTTCTCCCAGTACGAAAGGACAAGAGAAATGGAGCCCCCTTAACAAAAGCGCTCCAAACTAATTAATGAAACTATCTAAATTATAGTAAGTATGTACACTTTACCCCTAGAACAGGGGATTGTTAGGGTGGCAGAGCCCGGAAATTGCGAAAGGTTTAAAACCTTTTACTCAGAGGTTCAAGTCCTCTCCCTAACAGTGCACTTTATTAATATCCTCACACTTCTACTACCCATCCTAATCGCTATAGCCTTTCTAACACTAGTAGAACGAAAAATACTAGGCTATATACAACTACGAAAGGGGCCAAATATCGTAGGACCATACGGAATTCTACAACCATTCGCCGACGCAATAAAACTGTTCATTAAAGAACCCCTACGACCCTTAACTACCTCAACATCCCTATTTATTTTAGCCCCCACACTATCACTCACCCTAGCGTTTAGCCTATGAGTTCCCCTACCAATACCCCACCCCCTAATCAACATAAATATGGGAATCTTATTTATCCTAGCCACCTCAAGCCTAGCTGTTTACTCAATCTTATGGTCAGGATGAGCATCAAACTCAAAGTACTCTTTATTTGGAGCATTACGAGCAGTAGCACAAACAATCTCATACGAAGTAACAATAGCAATTATCCTATTATCAGTTCTCCTAATAAGTGGATCATTCTCACTCCAAACCTTTATTACAACCCAAGAACCTATATGACTATTAATTTCATCATGACCACTAGCTATAATATGATACATTTCAACCCTAGCTGAAACCAACCGGGCCCCATTCGACCTAACAGAGGGTGAATCAGAACTTGTCTCTGGCTTTAACGTAGAATACGCCGCAGGCCCATTCGCCCTATTCTTCATAGCCGAATACACTAACATTATTATAATAAATGCCCTATCAACAATCGTATTTCTAGGGCCAGCACATGACCCGAACTACCCAGAAATATATACAACCAACTTCATAATCAAAACACTCCTACTCACCTCAATATTTTTATGAATTCGAGCATCCTACCCACGATTTCGATATGACCAACTAATACACCTCCTATGAAAAAATTTCCTACCCCTAACTCTAGCCCTCTGTACATGACATATCTCAATACCAATATTCATAGCAAGTATACCACCTTACACTTAGAAATATGTCTGAAAAAGAGTTACTTTGATAGAGTAAATTATAGAGGTTTAAGCCCTCTTATTTCTAGGACAACAGGAATTGAACCTATACTTTAGAATTCAAAATTCTACGTACTACCTTTATACTATATTCTACACCAGCTAAAAGTAAGGTCAGCTAATAAAGCTATCGGGCCCATACCCCGAAAATGTTGGTTTAAACCCTTCCCGTACTAATTAACCCATTCACCCTCCTCATCATTTATTTCACAATCTTTTCAGGCCCAATAGTCACTATACTCAGCACCAACTACTTTCTTATATGAATTGGTCTTGAAATAAACTTACTAGCTATTATCCCACTTATAACTGACAAAAAAAACCCACGATCCACAGAAGCAGCAACAAAATACTTCATTACACAAGCCACAGCTTCTATAATCTTTCTACTAGCCATTACAATAAACTTCAAATTTTTAGGAACATGAATAATTAACTCTCAGTCAGACAACACAATTATTACCTTAATATTTATCTCCCTAGCAATCAAACTAGGCCTAGCACCCCTACACTCTTGACTACCAGAAGTAACCCAAGGAATCCCACTAAAAACTAGCATCATTCTTCTGACATGACAAAAACTAGCACCAATAGCAATCCTATTTCAGACATATGAACTGATAAATACATATCTACTAACAACCTCCGCCCTCATCTCAGTATTAATTGGAGCATGAAATGGACTTAACCAAACACAAACCCGAAAAATCATGGCCTATTCATCCATCGCACACATGGGATGAATGGTGGCTATTCTACCCTATAACCCACTATTAACTATAATAAACTTAACCCTATATATCCTACTGACACTAACCATAATTATAATTATAAAAACATACTCACTTACCTCAATCAAAACAATATCCCTCCTGTGAAACAAAATACCAACAATACTTCCCCTGACAGCCCTAACCCTACTATCCATAGGAGGCCTTCCACCATTAACAGGGTTTCTCCCAAAATGACTTATCATCTCAGAACTTTTAAAAAATAATAGCCACATCCTAGCCACGCTAATAGCCATAGCAGCACTGATTAACCTGTTTTTCTACACACGCTTAATTTACTCCACATCCCTAATTACCTTCCCAACAAACAACACTTCAAAAATATTTCTACACCATACCCACATAAAAAATCACACCGTTCTATCAACAGCAACCATTCTAAGCACTATAACCCTACCCCTATCAACTATATTAACATAAGAAGTTTAGGATAATAAGTCCGAGAGCCTTCAAAGCCCTTAGTAAACATACAAGTTTAACTTCTGCCTAAGGACTGTAAGTCTACATCTTACATCTAATGAATGCAAATCAATTGCTTTAATTTAAGCTAAATCCTCACTAGATTGGCAGGACTTAAACCTACGAAATTTTAGTTAACAGCTAAATACCCAACTACTGGCCTCAATCTACTTCTCCCGCCTATCAGAAAGGGGGCGGGAGAAGCCTTAGTAGAGTATGTTATCTACACCTTCGAATTTGCAATTCGATGTGATTATCACCTTAAGACCTGGTAAAAAGAGGCCTCAAACCTCTGTCTTTAGATTTACAGTCTAATGC